TCACCTCCGGGGCAGGCGGGAATCGAACTCATGCGGAAGCGGCTTTAGATTCTCAGTGCTGTGCTTTAACCCGCTGCGCCACCAGGGAGGGCCACCACAGCAGGGATTTTAAGGGTAGGAATCTACCATAATCATGAATAAAGCATATGCATATTGGAAGTTCATTCTGTCTCTAACCAAATCAGTTTCTCTGTGTATCTTGAGGAGACAGTGGGCAGAATCTTCCAGGTCTCTGGTTATGTGGATGTTAAAACTCTTTTCTCCTTTGGGAATAGTGACCTGGGGAACTGCTACTCTCATTAAACTGTCGTAACATTCACTAAGTTACTCTTACCCAGAGAGGTAAGTACAAAGCTGGGAACTAGGTACTATCTGGATGGGAACCCCCCTTACAAAAGGAGGGATTCGCAATGATAACAGACAGAAATGGGCATAAATGACACAAAAGAGTAAGTGGCTTCAATTCTTTCTCGGGCCCAGAAGTTTGGGTTCTGAATTGGGGCTGCTTCAGAATCACCTGGGGACCACAGACCTCAAGGGGAGCCCATATTTTAAATTAATCCTTCAGCCTCCCAAAGTTTCAGGACCACCACTCACCCACTGGCTAAAGATGAGAGACACTGAAAATATCTCAAGCCCCCACCAAGTCTCAAACTCCAGCTTTCCAAGTGGGTTGTTTTCACCAACAAAGGGTTTCTGGTGCCAATTTATGATGCAGAAGACAAGGGCAGGGTAAGGGCAGATTGTGGGGGAACACAGACAGACAGACACATACATACAGAAGCTAAAGCCTTCACTGGGGAAAAGGGAGCTGAAGGCTGAGCTCTCCTCACACTCCACAGGGATCACAAAGCCAAGGTCACCCCTTAGCAAAAGGGAGACCTGTCACAAACACATTCCATCTCTTGATAAGAGTCCACGGTCCTTGATGTCTTGCCACCTCCACTCATGATGTCATGGAAACTTCTGTGTGGCTGGGTCCCAGAGCGCAGCAGCCTATGCTCAGCTGTGGTGAGGAAGACAAACCCCTGGAAAGGATGTGCTAGGGGAACTCAAGGCAGCAATAGCCAAGGGAGGGGAGCGGGGCAGACCTTGCACCCCGAGAGCCCATCAGGTCAGAAGCACCAGGGGACTGGGACTTGGAGGGAAAGTGATGACAGTGGCACACAGGTGGGCAGGGATGGTAAGGTACAGCCAAGTCAGGACCTCACCCACGCCTTGCCCCAGAAGCTGTGAAAAGTCCACACGCCTGCCGATGTAAGAGATCATCTTTATTGGCTGAGCAAGGAGAGGAAATACTGCTGGTAAGTGATGCTCCTGCAAACCACCAGTCTGGGGTTCACTTGTTCCGCCGCCGCCAGTTTTCCCCAAGACTACTGTACTGGTCATTGTTCCGCTCTCGGAGGGGCTGAGGTGAAGAGGGGGAAAGAGGCAGAGTCAGATCTCTCCAGGGGAGAACCCCAGGGGTCAGTGCTCATGGCTGACCGTCCCAGACGCCCCAGGAATGAACTCCCCACTAGGATGCTCCACATCTCCATAGAACACTATTGTCCGCCTCTTCCTGCCCACTAAGTCCACCCGTTCTCACTGCTTTCCTCCCAGGACTCACCTGATAGAGCTGGTCATTTCTCATGACAACTTGAGTATCAGCAGCTAGAAGAAACATGAAAAAAGAGTCATCCAGGGCATCGGAGGACGAGATGGTGATGCTCCAGGCACCTCACAGGCACTGCTTGCCCCTCGGAAGTCTTCACAAGCCAGAGGGGCACATAAGCTTTTTTTTTTTTTTAGATTTTTTTTATTTTATAGCAGTTTATTTTTACATCATTTTGTACATTTTTTCCATCTCAGTTGTAGCTTTTTTTTTTTTAAGATTTATTCATTTATTCATACAGAACTGGGGCACAGGCCAGCAGTGCAGGGGTGGTGAGAGGATTCACCAGACACAGTGTGGGGAGCAGAACAGGCAGAATGACTGAAATACACTGCTGAGGGGAGCAGCAGGAGAGACAGGAGAGGTCTGCTGTGCCATGTGGTCACCTCTGGGGCCGGGGATCAAACTTGCCCTGAAGTGGCTGCAGCTAACTTGCAGTGCTGCACCCTAACCGATTGCGCCACCAGGGAGTTGCCCAAAAGTTCTTTTTTTTTTTTTTTTTTTTAAAGATTTTTTTATTTATTTATTCATACAGACTGGGATACAGGCCAGAGATGCAGAGGGTGAGAGGGTTCACCAGAGACAGAGTAGGGAGCAGAACAGGCAGATCAACGAAGTACACTGCTGAGGGGAGCAGCAGGCGGGCCAGGAGAGGTCTGCCACTCCATGTGGTCACCTCCGGGGTAGGCGGGGATCGAACTCATGCGGAAGTGGTTTTAGCTTCCTAGTGCTATGCTTTAACCCGCTGCGCCACCAGGGAGGGCCAAAAGTTCTTTTTTTTTTTAAAAAGATTTATTTATTTATTCATAAAAGAACTGGGGTGTAGGCCAGAGGTACAGGGTAGGTGTGGTGGTGAGAGGATTCATCAGAGACAGAGTAGGAAGTAGAACAGGCAGATCTACTGAAATACACTACTGATGGGAGCAGCGGGCAGGACAGGAGAGGTCTGCTGAGCCCTTGTGGGTCAGCTTCCTGGCCGGGATCAAACTTGTGCTGCAGTGACTACAGATAGCTTCATAGAGCTGAGACTTAACCCTTTGTGCCACTAGGAAGTCCCCCACAAGTTTTTCCAATAGCCAGTTGTAGAAGTCTTTACAGAATTGTAAGAGGGACTCTTAGGTGAGGTCAAACACACTGCCCCCTTCCTTATTAAGTGCACACTCACACCCACACCTACAGCAAGTGTGTGCATATACACACATTCACATGCACACACACAGACATATGTTCTGACCCTTACCCTCAGAGAGCCTTCCAGTCTCATGTCCAGCAAAACAGTAAACTCCCAAAGCAAGGAGCAAAGTGGCTATGATGTCAGCGACCACAATGCCACTCAAAGTGGCTGAGTCCAGCTCCACACAGTTCTGGCACACTGTGGAGGAAGAGGGCCAAGAGCAGAGATGATTCATTTTCTAGATCAAGAAACCATCTCAGCCTCATAAGGCAATCCTAAGATTGCTCATGCTAAACGTCTGTAAGATTCTGATAGAAGGGCCTGCTGATGGCCTTGCTACATCTGCCTCACCCCAAAAAATCTCCGTGGAAAACTGAGAAGCAGTTTCAGCTTTGTGGGAACATAAACAAGGCATTAGGCTGAACCAGTCTCCCAACCAAGCCCGGACTTTTGGGTCACAAGGCCTCTAATGTTCCTTCTCATTTAGTTAAGCTTTTTCCCACCAAGGATCCCACAACCTGGTTCACCCCAGATTTTGTAAGAGTGACTCCTGTTGTTAAGAGAGCAGACTGGTCCACCACAATCTTCTCCAGCTAGAAATTTCTATTAGGCAGAGGCCCTATCCATTCCAACCCACAGACTCCAGGAGGTACATACTTCTATAATAGATTTGTACAATAACATCGTTTTCGTTTGCATCCTTTCCTGTACATTTATATCGTCCTCGTGGGTCTAGGATGCGTTTTCCCAAGCTGACGACTGTATCGTCCACTTTCATTGGTATTACTTCTGTTCCCTCTATCCGCGAGATGCTGCTATTGCAAAACACAAACACGTTTTCCTCAACTTCCTGTACATTTACGGAGCTCCCTAAGGGGGAAAAAAAATGGAGACAGTTCTTCAGCCTGCACCAGATCCCTGGTTCCTGGGAAGTCTTGCACGTAAGAAGGAACACATTCCAAATCTAGGACAGTTTATGGTCTCTAATGAGTGACAGAAGTATCAAGAAAAGTCTTCAGGAGGCTCCCCCACAGAAATGCAGGCCCAGGAAAACACGAAATGCCGACCCAGGAAGAACACGAGAACTCACTGCAAGCAGAGGCTGACCTGAGGAGCACAGAGTAGAAAAGGAAACTGTGGGCCTGGGTTGATTCAAGAGCCTTTTCAGAAAAGAGTTTCAACCACTGGTTAGTAATAGGTGAGGATGTTAATGCACCCAAGAAGTATGGAAAAATAGAACTTTCCACCTTTAGAAATAGCCACGATTTCTCTCCAAGAAAGTATCTAATTCTACTTTCTACCACCTGTAACACACCAACTTCAACTTCTCATCCTCTTCCCTGTCCTTGTCCCACAGCTTCAAAGGAAATGGGGCTCTTGTTATCAAAGCCGTTGTGATTAGAGATAAGGGAGAAGCCAGTGTGAATTGCTCATCCAGGAATTCAGAAGGCAAAACCCCATATAAAGATATTTTGCTCCTACCCTTGCATAGGAGGCAGGGAACAGAAAATTTGTTTTTATCAAATCCATTTTTGGAGCCTCACATAAGTTGTATTCTGGGGAGTCTAAAGGCTGGAGGAATGCACAGCACTGTTCTAGAGCCAAACTTGTTTTTAGTGAAAGCATTTTTCAACCCACATAGGCCCTGGACTATGCTTCCTCAACCCAGAGAAAAGTAGAATCTACATTCTCCTGAACTTCATACTCAGTTGCCAATTAGGATTCCTGAGCTTCCTCTAGAAAACCCCAGAAGAACTGCTTCTTATGCCTCTGACTATATCAAGTGTCTCTCTACAAGTGTGTCTGCATATACATCCTCCAGTCCTGTCTTTCTTGGAGATCTGTCTCCAGTGGAAATTCTGGATATCCCAAAACAGCTGCCTACTGAGGTCTTTGCTATTCCCAGTTTGCCTGGGATGGAGAGGGTCTCTGGGATATGAAACTACAGATTTTTAACCAGACAAGCTAGAATGAGTTGGTCACCCTGCTACCTCAAATTGTCCCTCCCTCCTACTAAATTTTTCTCTTAAAGCCTTCCTCTGCACACTGGAGCGTGGCTGCAGGTGATGACCAAATGACTAGGGTCCTGGATCCCAGAGGCCATCAGCTCTAGATGGAAACCACTCCCATTTCCAGCAAGAGCTGCAGGCACATACACACCACATTCCGATGGCTCTCTGCTAAGACCTTGAGGGAGACAATCAAGCCAAGACGCCCCACAAAGTGGAGTCAGTCACAGCTGAGAGGCTCTTTCCCATACCCTGCGCTACATCTCAATCCTCCCCTTCGTGACGACCCAGTTTGATGAACTGAAGTTAGCGTTGAGAAGTTTTAGATAGACCTCACTTAAGATGGTAAGATCCCTCCCAAGTCCCTTCTCCACGATGCCCTCACCCTGCTGGACAAGTCTTACCTTGGGAGAGGAAGATGGCCAATATCAGTCCACTCAGACACCTGCTGGGTTCCATCTTCAGCAGAATTGAGCCAGTATATAGCCCCAGGTCACAAAACTCTCAGCCAGGAGGAGGACTGTCCTCCCCAGAACTGACTCACCGATACCGGAAAAAGCAAAGGGTGGGGGAGGGACTACAAGACACCCTTTTCTCTGATGTCTACCGTTGATGATGGGAGACTCTCAGGGTAGAAGGAGACTGGGGGTGGGGGAAAAAAGGAAGCAGGTGCAAAGTGCTTTCTCTGAGCAGGGAGTGTGGGTGAGGTGAAGGAGAACAAAGAGGATGGAAAAGGTTGCCTAGACTCCCAGGAAGTAAAAGATTTAGGAGGGCCTTTTCCTCAGTCACTGATGAAAAACAAGCACTTTTGGGGTCCTTGTCAACAACACAACTGCATTAACTCACCATCTGAAAACTGCCACCTCTGAAAACCCTGGAGAGAAGCTGTCAGCCCAATCACATAAGCAAGACCCACCAGCCCTTGTTGTTCCTGGTCTTGCTCAAGGTCCCTCCCTGGGCAGGTTGGGACACCAGATCAAGCTGCTTCTTACCAGTAGGAGCCTGGATTTAGAGGCCTCGCCCAGCTAGAGATTTTTTTTTTTATCATAATGAATCCTACACACATATATGCTATTTTTTTTTTTACATCATTCTTCATTTTGTGATTTTTCCATCTCAGTTGTAATCCCCATGGGCCAGCTAGAGATTTAAATCTGATTCCAGTACTGCCTCCCAGCTGGGCCAGCATCAACCACAGAATTTTTTAGATCCTAATCCCCTCAGTATAGGATAAGGATTCCAATAAAATGCTTGCATGGGGCCTGACACATCATTTGTGCCCAAAAGATAGTTATTAGTTATAATATTATTGACTCACTAAGTCAGAAATGAGTCTCCCCTGGAGACAAGTGGATTTTTCCTGTGATATGAGGGATCTAAAACTCTGCACACAACCACAGTTGGAATGTAATTTACTTGAGGGCAGAGTGTAGATATGATGTGATCACTTCTGTGTCTTCAACACCTGGCTTGTGCCTGGCACAAAACCAGAATTCTATTTACATTTGTTGATGACTTACTGACTGAAAGAGACAGGACTTGAGACCCTGAAAACACAGCCTAGGCCTCTGGCCCCTAGAAAAGTATTACCTGTCTTCTTGGAATTGTACCACCTATTTCTTTCTGGCAGATGACTTATCTCAAAAGAATGGTGAAAAATATCTGAATGAGGGCCTGCACTAAATGCTTTCCAATCACAGTTCTAGTCCCATGCACCCAAGTGTTCCTGTCTAAATCCACCAGTACATCCAACAAGCAACAGATGGCTGAGATCCCAGCGACAAGTGGTAGAGACATTTATCTCCCTCATGAAGAATGGAGTCAAGCCATCTTCTGCGCAGCCCCAGAGGTGGTTCTCTGCAAGCCAAATCTCTGGATGGCAGTCCATCACCTTGCACCTCTGCATCTCCAACCCTCCCAGCCTCCACTCATTAAAGGAAAAACAAGAGACAGCTGCAGCTACAGCCTGCTGAGGCCCCTGCTGCCCACATTTGGAGCAAAAGGTTCTTGCCTTCTGAAGTTGCCCCAGCCCAAAGGATGTGGGGTGGGGCCCGGCTTGCTGCTGAGCAGACTAGCTGGCTGCTACGAGCTTCTCAGAGCTTCTGCGGAAGAACAGAGATAGACATGGAGCAGCGGGTCCTGGCTGGCCTCTTCCTGGCTATCATTCTTCTTCAAGGTAAGGACCCACTAGGGTCTTATGAGAATGGCTCAAAGGAGGAGGTCATTACCAGGGGCAAAGAAGATCGGGGTTCCTAATCTCAAGCCTGGCCCCTTGCCACCTTAGAGTTCAGAAAAGGAAGGGCAAAAATGAAGACTTTTGACTCTTTTCTTTTAGAAAGAAGCAGTGTCACATGGAAGAGATGATATCCTTTGTCATTGACAAATCAAAACCGAGGACTTAACTGGGTAGGGAGAACACCCGCCTGCCGCCATCTTAGGCCCGATTGTAACCTTGAAGGGCACAGGCAAGAAGCCTAAAAAGAAATGTTTCTTAGCTCAGAGCCAAGGCTTGCTGTAAACTGATGAAGCATTTACTTCACTCCAGCATTTGGTCAGCTGGTCAACTGGTAAATAGATAAGAATAAGATCCTATTATACAGTAGGCTAGACCATAAAGATGAGTGAAAACCTTCTGCCCGAAGGAGTTCATAGCCTAAATGGAGAGCGGTATTTCAATGTTTCCAGGCTAGTATAAGATGCAATTTGAGATGCCTGCACAAATATTAAAATATTCAATTAGAAATAACTGACAGAAAGGTTGATGCCTGGTGCCTAAACTAAAGGTAATTCTTCACCCACTGGGGAGGAGGAGGGAGCTCAAGTTGTGGAAATTGCTGAAATCACATATGTGCTGTGTGAAGAAGAGGGGGCTGAGGATGGAATGAGGATTCTGACTTGTAAGGGACAGTTAGAAAAAACATCTCAGTACAGAGATAAGGCAATGGTCTAAGGGCTTGAGTAATCTGGTGGGTGCAATACCCTGGACACCAAGGGAGTAGACAACTTCCAGAAGGAGAGATTAGCTAAGAATTACATGTTAAAGAGCGGTCCACGAATATAAGAATATATTTATAAGTTTAGATCTGTGGGACTTTTCAGGAGTAAAGATTCTAGATAATTTAGTGGGCTGAGGTAGAATGAGTAGAAACCAAATGGAAATGAGTAAGAGTGAAGGGGCAGTGATGAAGTGTAGACTAGGCTTGAAAGAAAGTTGGATGAGAAGGGAGGAGAACTCAAGTGGGATGTAGAGGAGGAAGTGAAGCGTAAGAAGAAATTTTTTTGAGAGTGAAAGAATCATGAGCACCGTTTCTAAGTTACAATAGAAAATAGTGGCACAGAGAGGTCTGGAGTTGATAATGAAATGATGGAGTCAAAAATGGGACCAGAAACACAAAGGAGACACCCATAGCCTCTGAGACTAGGAGAAAGGAAGCGCAAATAGCTTCTGTCATAAATAGGCTTGTAGCTGCCCAAACAGCATCTGTGTTCTCAACAAACACGGGGGGCGGGGGGGGGGGGGCGATACCCCTTGAAATAATGGTGGTGGTCAAGTGAGGGTCTTGAAGAGAGCGTTTAGAATTATTTCTGAGGGGAATGGGAAAAAGAACCTCCTAGAGACAACCTGGATTGAGAGACCCAAAGCCTGAGTGAGGCAACCCGACAGAGTCGGAGAGCACAGGCTGAGCCAGAGCCCAAAGCCAGCTCAGCCACCCAGGGAGTCCATGAACTAGGACACTGCTCCCTTCCTCTGGACTCAGTTCTTTTGCCAGTGAATCTAAGAAACTTGGCTACATGAGCTCTCAAGTGCTAAAAAGAAATAGGACCCAGATAAGTAAAATTACACACAACATGTCAGCAATCAGACTCCGCATGAAATCTAAGCTAGGAAGAGGGAGCTCTTCGGATGGTCCAGGTTAGCAGGACAAGCTAGAGGAAATCTGCCTGTTTGTCTTGCTTTTTGGATTTTTGTTTTGATTGTTTTTTATTCATCCTTTTATTCACTCAACAAATATCGAGCTCTTATTGGGTACCGGATACTATGCTGGGTACTCTGGAATCCAGCCCTGCATGAAGTTCTAGGACAGTTGACTCTTTCCAACTATTTCCATCATACTTTGAGTCATGTCCTACCTCTTTCTATCACACACTCTATTTTGGCTACACTACTTTTCTTTTGCTTTTCCAAATATGTGTGTGTCTGTGTGTGTGTGTGTGTGTGTGTGTGTGTATAATTTATTTATACATACACAACTGGGGTACAGGCCAGAGGGAGCAGAGGTGGTGAAAGGCTTCAACAGAGACAGGCTGGAGAGCAGAACAGGCAGATTGATGAAGTACACTAGTAAGGGAAGCAGCGGGCAGGCCAGGAGAGGTCTGCCATGCCATGTGGGTCACCTCCTTAGCCTGGGGATCGAACTCACACTGAAGCAACTGCAGCGAGCTTCATGGTGCTGTCCTTTAACCGTTGTGCCATCAGAGAGGGCCCCTGTCACTCCATCTTGACCTTAAATGACCATAGCAGTAATACTGTTATCAAAATATTCATGAATCAGACAATATCCCCTCTAGCAAGCAGAAAATCTCTGCAAGGAATTGGACAAAATGGAAGGCTTTTAAGACAAGGTTATTAAAAAAAGGGGGAAAAAGATTATTTCAGATAGGGCCACCTACCCTCTAGCAAGAGGGTGGTCTTCTGCAAATTACCTCGCTATTGCTAACCAAGAAACTCCAGGTAGATTGCTTTAGAATCCCACTTTTGGGTCCTTCCTGATAGCACAACAAGTTTAAGCACAGCCTTATGAAGCTATCCACAGCCACTGCAGCATGAGTTCAATCCCTGGCCAGGGAGGTGACCTATATGGCATGACCAACCTCTCCTGTTTCTCCCACTGCTCCTCTCAGCAGTATATTTTAGTCAACCTGCCTGTTCTGTTGCCCACTCTGTCTCTGATGAATCCTCTCACCCTCACACACACACCTCTGGCCTGTGCCCCAGTTCTTGTATGCCTAAATAAATCAACCTTTAAAAAAATTTTTTTTAATTGAAGAATCCCACTTTCAGGGCTTTCTGTAGTGGTTCAGCAGATTAAAGCACAGCACTACAAAGCTAACCACAGTCACTGCAGCACAAGTTCAATCCCCAGCCCCGGAGGGACCCACATGGCGCAGCAGACCTCTCCTGACCCGCCCACTGCTCTCCTCAGCAGTGTACTTCATCAACTTCCCTGGTCTGTTCCCCATTCTGTCTCTGGTGAATCCTCTCACCACCCCTGAACCTCTGGCCTGTATCCCAGTCCTGTATGCATAAATAAATAAATCTTTTTAAAAAATAATCCCACTTTTGAGAGAAGCTGAGACTGCAATTAGAGTAGGCATTAGGACTTGGTCGTGTCTAACATGACTCCATTTTAGGCCTGTTATTATTTTTTCTTAACAATACCTAAGGTATTAACAATACCATGCCCAGCTTACCCTCTCCCTCTCTCTTCTATTTTTACAGGTACTTTGGCCAAGGAGGAAGAAGGTAGGAAAAATAGATTTTTCCTTTCTTCAAATTGAAGAGAGGAATTGCTTTGTATAAATGAAGTCCAATAGGAGTGAGTGAACACTTTAGAAAGGGCAGTAGGAGGAGGGATAGATAACCAGCATCTCCATTGTCAACCAAATCAAAGTCCAGTCGTGATCTTTCTATGCAGCTTCCCTGTGGCTAAGCAGTTTTATTTTCTGGTTCCCCCAAGAGAAACAGGACCCTAGCAAGTCGACCCTACTCCAAGTGCAAGCAAATAGTCAACAGCATGGGCATCATTTGGGAGCATGTGACAAACGCAGACTCTCAGCTTTCCCAGAGTGACTGAGTAGAGCCTGAAGGTGTAACTGCCCTCCCATGTGATTCGTGTGCACATTAAAATTGGACCAGTACAGCTGGAATGGTATTTTCTTAACATCCCAAGGCAGGAAGAAATTCAGAGCCAAGATCCTTGACAGGGGCCTCCCTGGTAGTGCAAGGGGTTAAGTGGCAACATTATGAAGCTACCTGCCACCACAGCGGCATGAGTTCCATCCCCAGCCAGGGAGTGACCCACATGGTGCAGCAGGCCTCTTCTGTCTCCCTACTGCCCCCCTCAGCAGTGTGTTTCAGTAAATCTGCCTGTTCTGCCCCCCACCCTGTCTCTGAATCTTCTTACACCCCCCACACGTCTGGCCTACACCCCAGTTCTTGTGTGCATGAATAAGTAAATATGTTTTAAAAAGATCCTTAACAGACCTTGTCTTTTCCCTTTTCTGTAGATTCAATAACAGTGAAGAATCAAGAGGACGGTTCTGTACTTCTGATATGTCGTGGGACAAATAGCGATGTCATATGGTCGAAAGATGGCAATGAAATACCTGACAAAAAGAAAACCTGGAATCTTGGAAGTAGTATCAAGGACCCTCGAGGGATATATAAATGTAACAATGGAAGAAAAAGTTTACAAGTCCAACTGTATTACAGAAGTATGTCATTCTTTTGGTTTGTCTATTGGGAAATTAAGTGACACTTGCTGTTCTAGCTTCCTGTCAGGGATAGAGTTGCCTCTTTTTTTTTTTTTTTTTCAATTTAGAAAGCCATAGTTCACCCAGCTTCTTATAAAAGCATAGCCAGTCCTGTGCCTAGCCTACCTTCAGGTGGACCCCACAGATTGAAGAAGGCAGAAATTTCTATGAACTGATTTGGGGCAGGTAGGTGAGACGATGGGTATTATAAGGTGAGCAGCAGTGGAAGGGAGAGGCCAGTTCAGTTTGGGGTCTGGTTTTCCTTCCATTTCAGACAGCTCCTGTTAGGGCTCCTGGAAGCAGCAGAACATCAAGAAACACTTCATTCCTGGTGCAGGCAATACCTCACCCTCAGTAAGAAGGGCTTGTTGCCTTAGAGGGGAGCATTATCACTAGCAGGTAGGAGAAAAAGATTCTGAGCAGGACCGTCCCTGGTGGCGCAGCGGGTTAGAGCGCAGCACTGCAAGCCAGCTGCAGATACTTCAGTGCAGATTCAATCCCCGCCCCAGAGGTGACCCACTTGGCCCAGCAGACCTCTCCTGTCCTGCCCACTGCTCCCCTCAGCAGTGTACTTCATCGATCTGCCTGTTCTGCTCCCCACTCTGTCTCTGGTGAAGCCTCTCACCACCCCTGTACCTCTGGCCTGTACCTCAGTTCTGTATGCATAAATGAATAAATCTTAAAAAAAAAAAAAGATTCTGCACACTTTACACACCCTGAAGGAGCTTGTCCTCTTTCCCTACAGTGTGTCAGAACTGCATTGAGCTGAATGCAAGCACAATATCTGGCTTTGTCTTGGCTGAAATCATCAGCATGTTCTTGCTTGGTGTTGGGGTCTACCTAATTGCTGGACAGGATGGAGTTCGCCAATCAAGAGGTAAAAGATTGTTCTTAAATGAGAGGTGAAACTACCTGGTCTTCCTACCAAAATAGATGCAGTAGAAGAGGCTGCTTTGGCATTTGTGGCTAATGTACATAGTTGGATGAGGCAGGCAGGAGAAAAGGACCCTACATGTTTTCACAGAATATCTACCAGTGTCAGGATCTAGCTACTTCTAACCTGTCCTCTTTGTTTCTTAAACACTTTCTATTGAAGCAAAATCTACACACAGAAAAGTACATGAATCACAATAATGCAACTCAAAATAAAAAGCGAAACAAGCACCCTCACATATCCAGCACCCATTTTAAGAGAATATTGCCAACATCTTAGAAGTTCCCCTGTGGTCACTTCCAGCTTCTACTTAAGCCCCAAAGTGAGCACTAACCTCACTTCTAACAACATCGATCAATTTCATGTTTTTTTTCCCGTGTAATTACATGCATGTGGTGAGTACTCGCCTCTGACTTCTTTTACTCAAAATGTGTTTGCAAGGTCTGACTGTGTTATTGCACATCGGTGTATTCCACTAATTCTTCTTGCTGTTTGGAACTCCACTGTGTGACTATAACCCAACTTATTATGCATCCCACCTTGTTTGCTTTTCATTGTAGCTTCAGACAAGCAGATTCTGTTGTCCAATGACCAACTCTACCAGGTAAGGGAAGCAGAATGAAAGAATCATGGGTGCAGTCAAGGCTGGTAAAATTTGGGGATTGGCCAGAAATGGGTGGTATTTGGAAAATCCTACACAGATTAGACGCTGCCGAGGGCATACTAGTGATGGGATAGTTCTCCCTTTGGGTACAGTGGATGAAAGAAAGAGAAGAGTGGAGAGGAACTGAACCTGGATATAGTGAGAACATACTGGAAGAATAAATACAGAGTCTTTTGTGTTCGTTCTACCCCCAGGACCACAAAGCACCCGCTCCAAAACCTTGCACACTAAAAACACTCAATAAATATGCGTCAAATTAATCCACAGAGCACGGGGTGGCTGGGGGAAGAATTTATGATTGTGCTATCCTTTTTAGCCCCTGAAGGAACGGGAGGATGACCAATACAGCCATCTTCAAGGAAAACAACCAAGGAAGAAATGAGCTCCAGGCGCAGAGTAGGTATGTCCTTCCACAAAATTCAAAAAAATTACCTTCACATTGCCAGTCCTCCCAACTGCTGACCAATCTGTCTTATTTCCCTAAGCAGTTATGAGAATCAGGCTTGGTGGTGGGGATAATTGTGGAGGTGCATTTCTGAAAGTACTGGGCCCCGTGCTGATTTTCTTGTCTTAAAAAAATAAAAAAGCTGGCCCTCCCTGGTAGTGCTGGGGTTAAAGTCTCAGGACCATTAAGCTATCACAAGCCATTGTGGCCTGAGTTTGATCCCTCACCAAGAAAGTGACACACATGACACAGCAGACCTCTCCTGTCTCGCCCACTGCTCCCCTCAGCAGCATAGTTCAGTAGATCTGCCTGTTCTGCTTCCTACTCTGTCACTGGTGAATCCTCTCACCGCCCACTCCTCTGACCTACACCCCAGTTATTATATGCATAAATAAATAGCAGTAAAGGAAAAGAAAGCTATCTGTGTTGTCAATCCTCCCAGAATAGCACCTCAAGCAATAGAGAGGCTAAATGTTCATTGTAATCTTTACCAATACCAGGGTTTCTCAGTATTCACACTATTATCATTTGGGGCTAGATAATTATTTCAGGGAGATGTTTTGTGTATTGTAGGGTTTTGTTTTTTGGGGGGGTTCTTAATTTTTTTTTAAGATTTATTTATTTACCCATACATAACTGGGGTACAGGCCAGAGGTGCAGGGGCGGTGAGAGGATTCACCAGAGATAGAGCAAGGAGCAGAACAGGCAGATCAACGAAGTACACTGCTGAGGGGAGCAGCGGGAAGGCGGGTCAGGAGAGGTCTGCCCGCCATATGGGTCACCTCCGGGGTGAGCGGGGAATCAAACTCGTGCGGAAGTGGTTCTAGCTTCTCAGTGCTGTGGTTTAACCTGCTGCACCACCAGGGAGGGCCTATTGTAGGGTTTTTAGTAGCATCATTGGCTCTATCTGGATGCCAGTAGTAACCCCCAGTTGTGACAACAAAAAACATCTGCAGTTATTGCAAGAGTCCCCTCAGAAACAACATCTTCCTTAGTTGTCTTAGTTCCTAGGAACCACTGGCCTATATTAACCTTTCAATCAAGCAATGAATAAATCAGGAAGTCTGAGTCAATCATAAGTTGCAATCAGAACAACAGGGCCCACGCATTATTTGGTTTTTTGAACCACTTACCATTTTTCTCCCTTCTATCCAATTGTCAAAAAACAAAGCAATAAATTGTGGAAACCTTCTAGCAGAGAGACTTTCAGTCATAAATCTAGACTCAGAGTTTCCAAAGAAAATAAACCATCGGGACAACTTTGGGTTTTTCCCAAAATAAAGGTTAAAAAACGTGTAGTGTTTTAGGAGCGCCTCCTATTGGAAGGTAGATATACTGTAAAGGAAAAAGGGACAGTTCAAATAGCCCACTTAACAGTTAACCTTTTATTTAAGTTTTTGTATAGGTCATAATTCACATGTTTCAAATATTAATTGACAGACCTCCCTCCATATTTATCCCAACCACCTAGTTTTCCTTTACATAGTCAAGCAATATGGTAGTTGCTTATATAACCTTGTAAGATAAAGTATTATCTTAGCAGGTTCTTACGTACATCCCCTTATATATCCTCCCTTCTCCTCCTTTTCACATGCATGGAATTATACTGTAAATTTTGCACTTTATACCTAATAAGGCTAGAGATTAGTTCATACCAGCATACAGACGCTATTCTTTTTTTTTTATGTAATCACATTGTACAAATACACTATAGTTTATTTAATCAGTCCTCTATTGATGGACATATTATTTACTATTTCTCTATTCATGGGTATTTAAGTTGTCTCCAACTTTTTTATCTTACAGTGCCACAATGTCTAATATATGAATATCTTATTTTAAAATAATCACATATTTACATGACCTGATAGAGGCCAGGAATACTGCTAAAAAACCCTGCAGTATATCCACTTAAGACATTTCACCTGTTCTCAGTAATTTTAGCAAATTGACCTATTTTTCTTTTGTGGATTATATTTTTGGTCTCATATCTAAGAAAAAAGTCTCTCTCTTTTTTTTTTACATTCACCACCATCTAGAACTATCTAGAGCATTTCCCATTATTCTCATAAGAGAATTTGTGCTGTTTTCAAACATTCCTGTTCCTACCCTCAGCTCTGAGCAAGCCACTAACCTCTTTTTGTCTCTTCAGATTTGCCTTTTCTGGATATTTCCTATAAATGGAACCATAAAATATGCTGCTCTGGACATCCCCATGGAACTCTTCATGTGGACATAGGTTTTCATTTCTCTGGGGCATATGTAGGCGTGAAGAATTACTGAGTTATATGGTAAATTCATATTTAACTTTTGAAGAAGCTGCAAAATTATTTTCTAAATTGGCTCTGCCACTTTACATTCCTACTAGCAATGGATGAGTGTTCTTATTTCTCCACAACTTCACAAATATTTGTTAGTGGGCCTCCCTGGTGGCTTAGGGCTTTAAATCTCAACATTATCAGGTTATCACCAGCCACTGCAAGAAGAGTTCCATTCCTGGCCAAGGAGTGACCCACATGGCGCAACCATGTCTCACCTGTCTCTCCTGTCTCACCTGCTGCTCCCCTCAGCAGTGTATTTCAGTAGATCCACCTGTTCTGCTCTCAACTGTCATTTGTGTGAATTCTCTTACACCTTGCACCTCTGACCTACACCCCAGTTCATGTATGCATAAATAAAGATAAATTTTTAAAAATTTTTTGTTGTTTTTTTAAAAATATAACTATTTTATGGTACAGGTTAAACAATATCTTATTGTAACAAATAAAACTAATGAGGTTGTGGGTCCTCCCTGGTGGCACAGTGGGTTAGGGCGCAGCACTATGAAGCTATAGCAGCCACTGCAGCAGGAGTTTGATCCCTGGCCAGGGACGTGGCACACAGGAAAGGTCTGCCTTTCCTGTCCTTCCTGCTGCTCCTCTCAGCAGTGTATTTCAGTACATCTGTACATTCAGTACAGATGTATTTCAGTACATCTCATCCCCCAACCCTCAGCTCTTGCCTGTACCCCAATTCTGTGTGCATGAATAAGTAAATCTTTTTTTTAAAATGAGGTTGATTATCATTTCATATGCTCACTAGCCATTCTTTTATCTTTAATGAAATGTTCATTCATATCTTTTTTAATTGTGTTTTCATCTTCTCACTATTGAGTTGTGTTTTCATATATATTTCAGTGTAATTATTTTACTAAGAATTTTTAGTAAGTTCTTTACTAAGATTTACAAATACATCTACCAATTTGTGATTTATCTTTTCATTTTCTTAATGGTGCCTTTTGAAGTGCAGTTTTTTTTTTATTTCAATGAATTCATCTTACCCTTATTTTTCCTTTTATGGATTGTGTTTTTGGTGTCCTGGATGCTTTGCCAAACCCAGCATCACAAAGATTTCTCCTATTTTTTTTTTTACAGTTTATGAAGTTTTATAGTTTTTAGTGATAACAATAATTGTCATTTGGAACACACTTGTGACTATTTGTAACAAATACAAATAAATGGAATTGCTGAATCATGATGTATTTGCATTGTGTTACAATGTATTCAGTGACATTAAGTACATTCACAACAATTGTACAACTATCACCACTATCCATTTTCATCATCCTAAACAAAGTTTTTGCATATTAAACAGGAACTCACCCTTCCTCCTTCCCACCAGCCCTCAGATAACCTCTATTCTACTTTGTTTCTATAAATTTGCATGTTTTAGGTACTATATATATAAACGGAACCATGTGATACTAGTTCCTCTGAGCCTGGTTTGTTTCACAATGCACAAGTTTTCAAAGTACCTCCATATTGCACATGTATCAGAATTTCTTTCCTTCTTTTTTTTTTTTTATTTATTCATACAGAACTGGGGTACAGGCCAGAGGCTCAGGGGCGGTGAGAGGCTTCACCAGAGACAGAGTGGGGAGCAGAACAGGCAGATCGACGAAGTACACTGCTGAGGGGAGCAGCGGGCGGGTCAGGAGAGGTCTGGCTCGCCATGTGGTCTCCTCCGGGGCAGGCGGCAGGCGGGAATCGAACTCATACGGAAGTGGCTTCAGATTCTCAGTGCTGTGCTTTAACCCGCTGCGCCACCAGGGAGGGCCATTTCTTTCCTTCTTAAAGCTGACTAATAAGTATATGTACATGTCACGTTTCTTTTAATCTAGCCATATCTTTTGATGGTTGTCTCCATGTTTTGGTTATTATGAATAATGTTTCTGAGTCCTACTGCAATTCTTTCGGGAAGTGGAATTGCTGCATCACCTGGTAATTCTACCTTCAACTTCTTGAAGAACCACTGAGATTCCTATTGCTCCTTATCCTCATTAACAATTATTTTCTGGTTGCTTTGTTTTTGATAATAACCTTCCTAATGAGTGTGTTGTAGCATTCCTTGTGGCTGGAATTTGCTTTTCCCCATTGATTAATGATGTTTAGCATATCTCCTGTGCTCATAGACCATTCATATATCATGTCTTAGAGAAATGTTTATTCAAGTCCACTGCCCATTTTTAATCACATTGGGGCTTTAATCAATATGTAGAAGCTTTTTATAGAACCTGGGTATTAGTCTTTTATCATCTGTATGAATCACAAATATTTTAGCTTAGTTTTATGACATCTTTTCATTTGAAAGTATTCTATTCCTATCGACTTTGTGTAACTCAAAGTAACCTATCTCCAGCTTACAGATAAGAAAGCAAATCCAATCAGAGATAAGACATTTTTCATGAATATCCAAAAGGGTAAGTTTATTATATTATAAAGGAAAGAAAGAGATGCTTGCATAGACACAAGTGGGCCAGGAGACCTGCCAACAGACTTAATACGGTTACCTGCCACCTAATAAAAAAAAAGGGCTCAAAACTTTCCGTTATTGTTATAACTGTTACTGCTATTGTCGTTACTTCATAGATAGTAGCACTTTAGAAAAGTAACAGGAGCTGATTTTAAAAGGTTTAAGAACGCTTGGGAAAACAGAAAGAAGACGCCCACAGGGATTGCTCCCTGCAGTGGCAGGCAGCAACATGTCAAGTATGTTTAGGATACACAGGTTTCCAAGCCCTCCCAGTTCACTGAGCCCCGCCCCCTGGTAGCTAAAGCCTGCGAGCTAGAGGAATTTGCACGCCTGGTCGCCGCGTCTGGCCCAGTTTCCGGCGCGCTGTTGAGTTTCCACCCGCCTGGCGCCTAGGGCTGATGTCATCTCCGGTTGCCGTGCTGAGTCGGAAGTGGGAACTCTTCGGCCACTGAGACTCTGTCGTGTCGTCGCTGCTGGCCCTTCTGGCTCTGGTAAGAGAGGAAGTAGCTTGAGGGGAAGGGATGTTGAACCTGCAATACTATCTCTTTCTTCTGGCCCTGGCTTCTGGGTTATTGCCTCCTGCAAATTCTTTGTGCTTTCCTCATCACTGACCCTCTCCTTCTTGAACTTCGACCCTGTCTATTTGGGAACCCCTTACAGTGCGCCAGCCCCTGGCCTCACTCCTGCTCTCTGCCATGCTCTTCCTGGAGAAGGCCGAAGTGCCGGCCTTGCATTAATTTTTTTCCTTCCTCTAGAATTTGCGCGGAGTGGGTGGGTCTCCCTATTTGTGGCGGATCCCTTATGGAACCTGGAGGGATAAAATTCAGAGTAGACAACAGATAGCTAGATGCCAGAAAAGATAAAGTTAAGCCCAAGTCGCAGTAATCAAACCAGTTGAATACATATGGGAATGTGTTGACATTGCTTAAGACAAGAGATCAGTGTACTCTGTTCCCTCAGCCATTGGTTCTAGAAGACACTTCTAAAATTGAGTAACCACAGATCAGGTGCTTATATTTGATAGACCTTTTCTTTGGAAGCCTTTTCTGCTCTCAGAATGAGGATGTATTTAAAGTCACTGTCATAGGCTGTTTTAGTTCCACGTGTGAGCGCTCTTGAGATAAAATCAGACCCAGGAAGGAATGCGCTCTGCTCTTTGACAGCATGAGATCTTTCTAGCTTGCCAAATGACTCTCTTGCCACTTTACAGAGGTCTGAAAAGATTAGTGGGTATAACATGTATCAGTGAAAACATTTTTTCTAAATCCTCTTTTGATTTGTTATAAAGACAAAGCCTTTGTGGAGCATGACTTAATAATGTTTGATTTTGATGATCCCATTTTGTGAAATATCCCATTATTCCTGTTCAAAATCAGTGCTAGGCCTTATGCTAAACATTTGTGTGCTCAAGGCTTCAAGAGCTGACAGTGTCCATTAAGGGATTAGTAGTACTTCCATCAACAAAATATTAGTCAGAGAGAGTTTTGTAGGGCCCGTGGTAACCAACTATTACAGATGTAAGATGATCATATTCTAAAAGAACCAAATGCAAACATTTCTAGAAGTTGCTGGTTGTATCATTTCAAAAGCTGACAACAGAATAGTGTTGTATCTGTATTGCATTTGTAAGTAGAAGACTAAAAAGCCTTACTGATATTGTTGAATCTTAAAGCAAACAAAATACCAAGGTTCTATGTTAGCATTTCCTTTGGAGTGGGTGCTATCTAGGCACTCTTTGTATTTATAAGATCACTGACATCTCCACAAAAATCCCCATCAGTGAGGGAACCTGTAGAACTTCTCTGTTGGTATGCACAGTATTAGCCTAGTTTTCTATGAAAATGGTTTGTGCACAGAAGTACATATGGAAAAGATGAGGTTTGTTAGATAGTCGAAACCCTTTTTTCAAAGACAGGTAGCAGAGATAGAACAGATTTATCTGTGATCTATTCTGAGATAGAACTAAGATACCAGAAAGCCACAAGTATCTGGCCTAGTAATTTGATCTTCTACTTCAACCCAAAACAAATAGTAAAACCTTTACCTTAAAATAGGATTGTGGGTACTTTTATTGATTATAGGAGGTTAAGAGTAATTGCACATGTGATTGAATCCTTCAATAAATATTTATTTGGGACTTCATGATTATGAAATATAATGCCAGGTGGAGAAGAAAAATAATTAAATATGTACCTGTACTTAGATTGCTTGTCTGTATGCAGATCTAGCAAGGAAGAAGATATGCATTAGGAAGACCATGTAGAAAATTACAAATCCTATTAGCCTGGCAACCCAAGTGGAAACAAAATTGTCCCTTTTTCTATACATTCAGCCAAAGATCTGAAACATGTTAATTAACCATGAAACGTGTTAATTGACCCTGATACACATGTTAAAATCATGTATCCACTCCTGAATCAGTCCCTTGGCCAGAGAATGCTGTATTCTTTTTGGCCAGGCCAGAGCCACATGTCTGTTTCTAGTACATGAGATCATCCCTTTCTAAATACATGATTGGGAATGAGATGAACCCCCCAAAGAAATAATATGGGATATCATGTTGGTAAAAGAGGCTATTTCGGAAAACAACAAAAGCTCACAGCACTCTGAACCTTAGGGTACCTTATGCTAGGGTGGTGGAACTAACGATGAGTCAGTTCCTGATACCTGTGCATGAGTTAGGGGTAATAAACTTATGCAGTGGTTAGAGGGTGGGAATGTCCTCTCAAGGACTGTTGTTAATTCCAACACTAAATACACTGTCTTTCTTTTTTCCATTATTAAGCTCAACTAAGTTATATATAACAAAAAGTAAAATACATAGAGCAACATCTAACAGTTCAGTTCCTTGAAGCAATAAAGCCCAGCACCATACTGAGAGGAGACTAGACTGTCTGCCTAAGTCATTGCAACTAATTAGCCATTAGCTCTTATGCAGAAAACACGACAGAGAAGCGTGAAGCAACTGGTGGAGATGCCTCAGAATTGTCAAGAAGTGTTATAGTCTCTTCCTCCAAAAACTGAGGGTAATTTTTCCAACTTACATTAGCTTTTGATAATATGATTCTATAAGGAGTCTTACTTCAATAAAGGTGGACCAAATGGTCTGTTTTTCTCCTTCCCTTTTGCTTTCCCCCCACTCCTTCTAAGGATTTTATCCTTGGTTGCAATTCTGTATCCTTACAAGCAGAGTGTTCACACCCTTTGTCTCTTCCCACCCTTTTCAGGGTTGTATTTCTATGCGGTGGCCTTAAAATTCAGAAAGGGGAGAAAGCCTTTCAGGGAGCTCTGATCATCCCATTGTGCCACTGAGGCCTCTTGGCGCTTCAATGAGGAAATATAATCAGAAGAGTGCAAATGCAGGCTCAGTCAGCTTCTCTAAATACCGTTGAGGTACATCTCTACTTCATATTACACTTCAGACCTGACAAGAGGGATTTGTGCTGCTTTAGTATCTATAAAGTCACATAAATAGCAAAAGGTAAACTTAAGCAAAGATCATTTAGTTTCTAGTGGAAGAAATATCAGTAGTTGTAAGCCAAGGAATAGAGATAGACTTCTTGATAAACATTTAAAACCCACAACATCCTGTTAATCTGGTTCCTGTCCTGATTTACTATTCTCTGTCTGAGATAGAAGCTTACATTTAGTTTGCCTATATCTTAGGAATTACCACCTCCAACCTTAAGTGGTAAAATCCTGAGCAAGCATCACCTTATGCTCACATGATGAGAACTAGTTGGCCAGCATAAAATATGTGTGTGTGCATATACATATATATATATATATATGTATGTATGTATATGTATATGTATATATAAGTGTAGAAAACCCATAGTTCTTGCCATATTGTGTCTAAGTGCTACATTGCTATTACAGCTAGTAGGTGAGTTCCCTCTTTAACCTCAGTAATTTTTTTACTTGATTTATTTTTAAGAGGCATAGCAAGTGGAAACATGTTTATGGACAAGTGAATTCCAGCCGAGCTGGTTTTTAAGCTTTTTGGTTTTAACTGTCCCCAAATTAGGCTACCTTGCCCACTTTGCCAAAAATATCTTGAATCTTGAAAAACAGATTGAAGAATTGGAAAGTTTTACCCAAAGCCTTCCTAGATATACTGTATTCAGGAAATGGGGAAAGAAACAACTGTTGGTATATGCTACAGCTGTGGGTTACCTGCCCTTGCCTCTAATACCTGTTCCTTCTGTAGCCCCTCCCCTTAGGTCTTGATGGAGGATATTTTAAAGTGAAATGACAGACCAGGAAAATAACAACAACATCTCAAGTAACCCCTTTGCTGCTCTTTTTGGCTCCCTGGCTGATGCCAAGCATTTTGCAGCAATCCAAAAAGAGCAGCTGAAGCAGCAGTCTGGTAAGTAGAGGAGCTAGAAGCAGCAGAGGAGATGACCTCGAATGGGATCTTCCCAAATTAAGTTTTCTTTGGGTCCTTAATTGCAATTAGAATTAAATTTGGGGCAGAAGTTGTGTTTTGCTTACCTAGGGCAGAAATTATTTCTTCTTGTTGTTCATTTGTTTTGGGATCCTCTCTTATCCTCCCCCAATATTAAAAAAAAAAAAAAAAAGAATAGCAGCTAATGGGTGGTTCCATAGTAATTGTGATCCCAAAGCTACCAAACTGTTTTACTTTTAAAATGATCTAGTAAAAATTACTTAAATAAATCTTTTTAATACAGGAAATTGAGGTTGTAGGTATAGCTATAAAAAGCAAGTCACATGTAGAAAGCAGATGTTTAAGAGGAAAATTTATAAAAACTTTTTGGTCTGTAGACAAATAATGAGATACTCTTAAACCTGATACTTACAGAGTCTCTTAAACAGAATGACCTCTTTTGTAATTTACTGATACAAAAGCACAGACTTCTAGAAATCTGCTCCTTAGCCTTAATATGAAAAAAACAAAATCAGACTCTCTCACTAATGAGAAAAATGATTTTCCTCACCCAGGACCAAAATTAAGAGGAGACATATAGACTAGAAGAACTAGAACTTTCTCAAGCATAGTCTTCTAAAGCAACTTATAGTCTTTGAAGCCAGAAATTGCTCCCCTTCTCCTCCCTCCAAAGAGAATAATGCTTGTCATTTTTAGGAAAGGAGAAATGTTCATACTTTCCCTTTATTTTGTCTACTTCAAAAACAGTCAGATGCATAGCTGACTTGTGGCCTTGCTAGCTGACTAGGGTTGAGGAAAAAGGTGGTGAGGGCAAGACAGTAGAGTAGCAGACAGGGTGGTAGATGAAGCAAGGGGAAGATGAATGCACTGTTGCCTTTTTACCGTCACAGAAAGAGTAGGCTCTGGGTCTGTCTCTGAAATCTCACCCAGATTTCTTAACTACAGGCTCCAAGTGGGAAGTGTTGGATTAGAAGATTGTAGAAAAGAAAAGTGTGAAAATTAGGAAAAAATAAGGCATGGGAAATCTAATTTGTGTGTATTTCGTTGAGGAAGATTAAACAGTGCAGGAACAGCGTGGCAGGAGGCTTGTCATGGCAGAAACTCACAGAAGGCCGGCTTTAGTCAGGAGTGTTGCAGGCACCAGGCAGTAGGGACAAAGCAGGTACTTGTCCTTCTGTTACTGTTTTGGCCCTTGCCCTCTTTGTTTGTTGTGCCACCAGGCCTAACCTGTTCCCCATCAGCAGTTAGCACTCTGCCAAAGCCTTTGACCTCCTCTATTGATGGTCACTTTTGCTGAAGTGACCACACTGAAGCAACTCTTACATGCTGAGAGTTGAGCATATAAAAATGCTCATTAAAACAACAATCAGGTCTTCCCTGGTGGCACAACAGGTTAGAGCACAACACTATGAAGTGAACTGCAGCCACTGCAGCATGGGTTCATTTCCCCAGCCAGGGAGGTGACCCACATAGCACAGCAGACCTTTCCTGATCCACCTACTGCTCCCCTCAGCAGTATTCTTCGTCAGTATGCCTGCTCTGCTCCCCACTCTGTCTCTGGTGAATCCTCTTCCCCCGCTCCCGCACCTCTGGCTTGTACCCCAATTCTTATATGCACAAGTAAATAAACCTTTAAAAAAAAAACCAACAACAACAATCATATCAGGGGATTTGTTTGGTTGGTTTTGTTTGTTTCTACATTTTGAAAGGACAAGTTTATTAAGAAAAGGAGAAAAAGAGTCACCTGCATAGTCACAGATGGCAGGAGAATTACCACTGCTGTTTTGCAAAAGGAAAGGTTTGTGAAAAGAAACACCTGCATAGTCACAGTCTGGCAGGAGAGCTGCCTGTCACATGTGTGGAGATATAAACAGGCACTAACTCATACTGCCGGTCTACTTGTCAGTTACACGGTCTTTCTGGGAGTAATTTGGTAGTATAAGTTAACTTTTAAATACTGAAATTATTTGACTCAACAATTTTCCTCCTCTGAATTTATCCTACAGAAATATTCATAATAAGTGCAAAAAAAGGAATAAATCACAGTGCACATGTACAGTGCAATACAGGTGGTCCTGTAAACAGTTTTACAGAAGGTGTGAGTGCTGATTACATTTCTAAAGTAGGCTGAAAAAACAGCATATATGGTTATGATCCCATTTTTTTTTTTAAACAAAATTAAAAATCATAGTAATAAACATTAGCACCAGCAGAGGGGGAAAATAATCTGGAATACTTTTTTTTTTTTT